CCTACATTTCTGAAGAAGGGTCTAGGTCCGAAACGTCAGCCTTCCTGTTCCTCTGATGCTGCTTGGCCTGCTGTGTTCATCCAGCTCTACACCTTGTTATCTCAGATTCTCCAGCTTCTGCAGTTCCTACTATCTCTAATTGGATTCAAAATTGGTTCGATGGTAGGAAGCAGAGAGTGATGGTTGAAGGCTGTTTCTCAGACTGGAGGCCTGTGACTAGCGGTGTGCCACAGGGGTCAGTGCTGGGACCTTTGTTATTTGTTATTTACATAAGTGATCTGGATGTGAATGTACAAGGCATGATTAGCAAGTTTGCGGATGATACAAAATTAAGAGGTATCATTGATAACGAAGAAGGTTATCAAAATTTACAGTGAAATCTTGATCAGATGGGGAAGTGGGCTGAGGATTGGCAAATGCAGTTCAATACAGATAAGTGTGAGGTGTTGCATTTTGGAAAGTCAAACCGAGGTAGGACTTATACAGTAAACACTAAAGTCCTGAGGAGTGTTGTGGGACGGAGGGACGTTGAAAGTGATGTCACAGGTGGGCAGGGTGGTGAAGAAGGCTATTGGCATACTGGCCTTCATCGGTCGAGGCATTGAGTACATGAGTTGGGACTAAGCAAAGCTTAGTCTCATTGCTTTGCTTCCCTGTCAATATCACATGGTCTGTTTTAATTATTTGACTGTACTGCAGCAGCTTTGTACGACTGAGTGACTTGCTAGACTGTTTGAGTGAACCGCATTTCTGTGGATCAGAAAGCATATGGAGGCTAGACCAGGTAAGGCTGTCAGTTTTCCTGTACTTTCGGACATCATTTGTGAACCGGATGCAATTTTTGACAGTTGTTGGTTTCATGGTACTCTTACTGAGAAGAGCTTTCACTTCCAGAATTTTTATTATGAATTTTGAATCCACAAACTGTCATTTTATGATTTGAACCTGTATCTCTCTGGCATGAGGTTGGTTTTCTGGATTGCCAGTTTACCTGTACATGTCGATTTTGTGTGAATCTTGTTTCTTTGCATTACAGCTGACATCACGTTGGCCGAATGGGGTCGTAAGGCCATTGAGATTGCAGAGAATGAGATGCCTGGTTTATTGATGATGAGGAAGATGCATGCGGATTCTAAGCCACTAAAAGGAGCCCGGATCGCAGGCTGCCTCCATATGACTCTTCAAACTGCTGTATTAATTGAAACCTTGACAGCACTTGGAGCAGAGGTAATGTCAGCATAAATTATATGTCAAAAATGTCTTAATTGACAAAATGTCTCTCAGCTGAGTTCTCCAATGGTTTAGAGTGTAAATTATCTCACAGTGAACAGGTCACCTCCATTTTACTGAACTTTGATCAGCTGATCTTTGGAAATTTCTAAGAATGCAAAGATGACATATATTTCCGTGAACACCACCTGTAGTAGCCTTGGGTGTAGATTGTCAGGGCCCAGGCATGTATCAGCTTTCAGTGTGATTCACTTCTCCATTTCTCAATAATACTAATTTCTTTCAATTCCCCCTTCCCAATGGATCCTTGCTTCCATGAATATTTCTGGAAAGTAAATTGTATCCTCTTCTGTGAATAAAGAACAGAAGTAATTTAGTTACTGTCCTTTTTCCTTCTCCATTGTCAATTCTCTAAACATTTTCTGTTTATGTATTTATAGAAACTATTACAGTTCACTTTTATGTTCCTTTCCCCCTTCTGAATCAACCCCTTGGTCCTCTGCTGAATTCTAAACTGCTCCCAATCCTCAAGGTTATGACTTTTTCTAGCAACTTTATATGACTCCTCTTTGAAACAAATACCATCTTTAATTTCTTCTGTTCGCCATGGTTGGGTACTTTTGCCTGAAACATAGAAATGTAGAAAACAGGTGCAGGAGGTAGGCTATTCAATATGATCATGGCTGTTCATGTAATCTCAGTATTGCAATCCCACTTTCTCTCCATACCTCTTGATCCCTTTACCTGCAAGGGCCGTATCCAGCTCGCTGTTGAATGTATTTAATGAGCAGGCCCCAACAGCTTCCTGTGGGAGAGAATTCCACAGGTCACAACTCTGAGAGAAGAAATTCGTCCTCATCTCAGTCCAGAATGGCTTACCCCTTATTCTTACATTGTGACCCTTAACTTTGTACTTCCCCAACAACACGAAACACTCTTCCCGCATCTAGCCTGTCCAGTCCTGTAAGGATTTTATATGTTTCTAAGAGATCCCCCCTCATTCTTCTAAATTCCAGTGAGTACAAGCCTGGTCAATCCAGTCTTTCCTCATATGTCAGTCCTGCCTTCCTGGGAATCAGTCTGGTGAACCTTCGCTGGACTTCCTCAATAGCAAGAATGTCCTTCCACAGACTAGGAGACCAAAACTGCACACAATACTCAAGGTGTGGCATCACCAAGGCTCTGTACAATTGCAACAAGACATCCTCACTCCGATACTCTCATCCTCTCGCTATGAAGGCCAGTGTACCATTAGCTTTCCTCACTGCCTGCTGCACCTGCATGGCGATGTTCAGCGACTGTTCCACCATGATACCTGGATCTCGTTACACCTCACCTTTTCCTAAACTGCCACCGTTAAGATAATAATCTGCCTTCTGGTTTTTGCAACCAAAGTGGATAACCTCACATTTATCCACATTATATTGTATTTGCCAAATTTTTGCCCACTCAGCCCGACCGTCCAAATCACCCTGCAGCCTCTTAGCATCCTCTCTACAGCACACACTGCCACCCAGCTAAGTGTTGTTTGCAAATTGAGATATCGCATTCAATTCCTTTGTCCAAATTGTTAATGTACACTGTGAATAGCTGGCGTCCCAACACTGAACCCTGCAGCGCCCCACTTGTCACTGCCTGCCACTCTAAAGGGCCTTTTTATTCCAACTCAATGCTTACTGTCTGCCAAACCGTTGTCTATCGAAAATGCATTACCTCAGATACCATGAGCTTTAATTTTCCTTACTTATCCCTTGTGTGGAATCTTGTCAAAAGACTTATGAAAGTCCAGATACACTATCTACTGATTCACCCTTATCCACTCTACTGGTCACAACCTCAAAAAGTTCCAGAAGATTTATCAAGCATGATTTCCCTTCGTGAATCCATGCTGACTAGGACCAATTCTGTCACTGCTTTCCAAATGCTCAGTTATTACATCCTTAATAATTGACTCCAACATTTTCCCTACCACCGATGTCAGGCTAACCAGCCTATAAGTCCCCCTTCTCTCTCTCCCTCCTTTTTTTAAAGAGTGCTGTTGCAATAGCTGCCATCCTGTCCGTCGGAACTTTTCCAGATTCTACAGAATGCTTGAAAATGATCACTAATGCGTCTGCTATTTCTAGGGCCACGTCTTTGAGTACTCAAGGATGGAGAGCATCAGGCCCTGGAGATAGAGAGATAGTAGGAACTGCCGATGCTGGAGAATCTGAGATAACAAGGTGTAGAGCTGGATGAACACAGCACGCCAAGCAGCATCAGAGGAGCAGGAAAGCTGACATTTCGGGTCTGGACCCTGCTTCAGAAATCTTTCCCCTTCCAAATTAAACCCTTTGTCCTCTGTTGAATTTTACATTTCTCCCATTCTCAGGTTTGCTGCTTTTTTCTGGCCAGTTTATATGCCTCCTCTCTGGCTTTAACACTACCTCCGATTTCCCTTGTTAGCCATGGTGGAGCCACCTTTCCTGTTTTACTCTTACGCCTGATAGGGATCTACAGTTGTTGGAAGTTCATTCACATGTTCTTCAAATGTCTGCCTTTGCCTATCCACCGTCAACCCCTTAAGTATCCTTGGCCAACTTATCCTAGCCAGTGCACAAAAAGAATGTATAGTTGCTGCAATGCGTACATTTGTTCCTCAAATATTAATCGTTGGTGGACTAAAGGGCCTGTTTCTATGCTGTATGAATGACTCAGTTACCTTTACGTGAAGTTACTGTCCTATGCTGCTGACACATCCGTCATAACTTTGTAGTTTCTTTTGATTTAGGACCTTTCTTTTGAATTTGACTCTTTTCGCATTCCATCCCAATGAAGATTTCCATCATGTTGTGGCTACTTTTTCGTAAAGAAAGCAATCTAACCTCTCATGGCAACATTTCATGCTGAGGTTCCTGTCTTTGGAGGATTTTGCTTCTGGCAACCAGCCCCCACCCCATCACCGCCACCCAAGCGTACATGCAACAATCTATTCTTCTTTCTTGATGTTGTTTACATGTGGCATCTGAGTAATCATGAGGTTACTACTTTTGATGCCCTATTTTTAAATTCATTATTGTAACTTCGCTAAATTCTGGTGGGTTATGTGTTTTTATTTTGTGCTGTGACTTGTGGACTGGTAGAACTAAAATGACATTGCACACCTCCGGCTTCAGGTGTAGCATACTCCATCCTCTTGCAATAAAGGCCAATATTCCAAATGCCTTAATTGCTATACCTGTATGTTGACTTTTTTGATTTGCACACAATCTCTTCAGTTTGACAAAACAATAAGTCTGCCTGCCATCCAAGTCATCAATATAGATAGTTATTTGAGGGTCTCAACACTGATCCCTGTGGCACTCCAAAAATAACCCATTTATCATAGCTGTCTCTGTGCTGTTAGCCAATGCTCTATGAATTCTAATTTATCACTTTCAGTGCCATGAGCTTTTATCTTCTGTAGTAACCTTTTGTGTGCCACTTTATCAAATGTCTGTTGGAGATACACATACCTTACGTACAGCAGTTCCTCTTTATCCACCCTGCTTGTTTTGTCATGAAAGAACTCCAATCAATTTATAAAGCAGTATTTTTCTTTCACACAGTCAAAGTCAACAGGATTTAATGATTTTATAAATGTCCTGCTATTACCTCCTCAATGGATTTCAGAATTTTCTCAATGATAGATGTCAGACTGACTGGCCTTCTGTCTCAATCCTTTATTGCATGGACATGGCAACAGTTTCTATCCACTGCTGCCCAGAGCCCTCATGATGTTGAATACCTCTATCAGATCACCTCTCAACATTCTCTTCCCTAAGGAGAGCAAACCGTCCAAGCTATCCTTGCAACTGTAGTCTCATATCCTGAGTTTTCTGTTAAGAAAAGTGAGACAATCATATTCAGTTGACGCATAAGAGATTCTGAAGGGCTGAAAGATTTTTTTTTGCTGATCAGGGAATCTAAAACATAGGGATTGGGTGTTGAACAGATGTCATGATGTGGAGGTGTCGGTGTTGGATTGGGGTGGACAAGGCCACCAGGTTATAGTCCGACAGGTTTAGTTGAAAACGCAATTGAAAACTTTTGGAGTCTTACTCTTTTAGGTGTTAGTGAGAAAGGTAGTATCAGACACAGAATTTATAAGTAAAAGATCAAAGGGTCACACCGCTGATGAGGATGTACTAAACAAACCGAAGATGCTGCTAAATCTTTAATCAGTTGAAAGGTTTTAATTGATTAATATGTATATATAAATTCCTCAATTCCTTTTGAAGTCACTGTCTTGAGGAAACTAAAGGTTTTATCATTCTAAAGAAGAGGTGACGTTTTAGGATCAAATGATGTATGTTAGGTGTGAGGCCTTGTTTGAAATCTGTTTGTCTTTTGGTTTGGAGTCAGACTGGTTTTATTTCTAACGTAGGAATTTAAAGAACGCCACATGGACCGTCTATAAATTGTGTGCTTTTTGAACAAAATAGAATGTATCTGCAAATAGAAATTCACCCCATGGATGTGTGTGTGTAAGAGAGACAGAGGGAATGGGTGTGAGTGTGAGAGGGAATGGGTGTGAGTGTGAGAGGGAGGGGGTGTGAGTGTGAGAGGGAGGGGGTGTG